CACCAGCTTCAAGATATTGGAAAGCTGTGTAATTTTAGACACAGCATTCGATAAACAACATTTAATCCTGAGCTAATTTATGTTTTGATTCTGTCCATCACAGCCCAAAGCTTCAGGTCAACAGAAACCTTTTAATTGATTTCCTTTGCTGGCAAAATTGGCAGCACCACCCATGTGTTGTGATTACTGCTATCACCTTGGTATTTTTGGAAGGGGAAACAGGTCTGGCAAATGCCCTGCTGCCTTTCAGAGACAGCGCTCAGCCCTTGGTAGAAAGTTCAATTTCTAATAACTTAAATTTCCTACAACCATGTGCTTTTAATAAAATGTTCACTGTTCTTGACGTTAATATGTCTACAGGGATAGCTGCCTAGTTTTCACTCAGTGAAAGAATGCTCTCCTCTTTTATTTGTATGTCTTGTTTCTGATGTGAGAACATACTGTTTCTGAAGCAAAAACTCATGCAAAACCACGGAAAAATGAAATTTGAATTGTGTTTCCTTGCAGTGCAGATCATCCTCCCACATTTTCTTCAGATCACCATAGTTTGCACTACTCAGAGAAAACTTGTGCCATTTCTTGTTTCTCTGAGCTTTATACCTACTCGTGCAAACTCACCCAGAGACCAGATGCATTCTCTTTCGGGGTGTGCACTCACAGCTAGCAGAGCTTAAACAGCCAAGACTCAGTAATGCTTTGGAGCACGGGGCCCTGTTTGTCATAGAATGGCTTGGGTTGGAAGGGACACCAAGGATCACCAAGTTCCAACCCCCTGCCACATGCAGGGCCACCAACCTCCATATCTAATGCTAGACCAGGCTGCCCAGCGCCCCATCCAACCTGGCCTTGAACTCCTCCAGGGACGGGGCATCCGCAGCCTCTCTGGGCAGCTGTTCCAGCACCTCACCACTCTCTCTGTAAAGAACTTCCCTCTGATATCCAATCTAGATCTCCCTCCTTGAGCTTAAAACCATTCCTTGTCCTGTGAGCCAATAATGCAGCATCCTCGCAAGCCCACGGCAAGTTGGACAGCAGTTCCACAACACCAATGTTGTGGAGTTACTTTTCACAGCACTTCAGATTGAACACGCACCCATATATTGGCTCTTTGTTCTTGTCTGTGGTGAGCTGCTGTTAGCTCTGTGACAGCTACACCTCACACGTGCTTTTCTAAAATTAGGAAATTCTCGTTTGCTCATTTTTTTCTTATCATCTACAAATAATCAGAATGCAATTGCTCAGCATTCCATGGCTGCTCGCTTGCCCACACTTTCAGCAGCAGACAATGCCAGATAGTGAGCTCCTCACCTCCCACATGCAAACCTCTGCCTTCAGAACACATCTGGCTTTGGGATGTGCACACACCCTCCCAGTAAGGATCACACTGAGCCCATTGCCAGGAGGGAACACGGTGTCTGCAGCATCTGCTGCTTTTCAAGGTGGGACACTGGTCACTGGTGCCCCCAGTTTGCTCTTACAAAGCTTTCCCTGCAAACATCGAGCAGTTCATTTTGCAGGAAGGCATCTTTCCTTTCGAGGCAAATAGATTTTGAGGTCAGGGCAAGGGGTTATGGCTGGATGTTGAACTGGGGTAAATCAAAAGGAAAAGACCCAAAAGATGAGCTTTAGGCTATCAACAAAACACAAAATAAAATATTAAAAACTGCATTAAACCCCTTACATCAAACTGGAAAATGTTTTAACTCGTGTCTGCAGATCACTTTTCGGTTTAACTTTGTCCTACCCAAACAGTTCATGTAAACTGTGTATCTTCAAATGGCAAAATACCTTCACTGGGAAAAGAACAGCTACACGGGAAGGAAAACACTGCAAACACTACACACAGTCTTTGAAATGAAAACAAGCTAGGAAGAGGTTGCTTCCAAGAAAAACAAGGAATACGCAGAGTAACAGGTTAGTGTGTGTTTTGAACAAGGCAGAGGAAAGATGGGGGATGTTATTTACAGCAGAGATGGCATACACTTCCCACACATACTGCTCCAAGATGACAGGCAAAAGGGGTGTAGAATGGATTCAACTCAGGTAAAGCTGGGGAAAAAATCCTTACTAACCTTGTGGACTTCAGCCCAGTGCTTTTTTCAATTGTAGATTGCCTGGATAAAGTGCAGATTTGCTGTAAGGCATCTCTATGGTCCCCTGCTCTGATGCTATGTCACCCCCAACAAGAACATTTTTCTTAATGTCTGCCTGCAGCTGCCCTTGCTGCCTCCTGTCCGTTCATTGTGAGCTCCTGAGCTGCCCAGCTCTGCCATCTCCATAGCTTCTCATTAGTTAACTAATGAAAAGAAAATGTCTTCTTTTTCTCCTTAGCCCTGTGCTGCGGCCCCTGACCAACCCAGTGTCCTTCACTGGGCTCACTCCAGTACATCCCTGTCTCTCATACAGTGGAGCCAAGTGCTGGAGCCAGCATTGCAGCATTAAGCAAAAGGGAATCACCTCCCTCAGCCAGCTGACAATGCTCCTGCTAATGCAGCCCAGCATGCAAGTAATTTTCATTTTAATAGTGCTAACACAGTGCCAAGAGCTGATCGGCTGCAAGGGCAGGCAAGAACAGCAAGCCCATGTGATTTCAGCACGCTGTCATTTTCCAAAGGAATAAAGCAGCCTAAGCCCCATTCATTTTAACACAGCTATCCCAAGCTGCTTGAGAAAATGGGATTTTAATCACAAAGGATGTGGCAATTTTGATCACAGAAGCATTCAAATACCTTGGGAAACACGTAGCCATGTGTTGCGTTAGCTCTTAGAGCTCTGCAGCACAGCATCTGCACAGATCTGAGGTCTCTGAGCTGAGGAGTCACTGAGAACTCTTGTCACTCAGAAAATGGTGTGAAGGATACATAGACTCTGTTTTGAGTGGGACTTAACCAATTAAGCTAGTGCTTCATAATGCATAGGGTTATTCTTTCTTTGCAAAGTAGCAGGATGTAAAAGTTTGGTCTGTGAAAAACTAAACAATGCAACAGAAATGTTAACTTTCATACATTTTGTGAAGTCCTGAAAAGGTTTTGTTAAATACAATTAAAGACAAATCAATCAAACACAGTAAATCCTAAGAGTGTAATTCATCACCAACCAGTGTTAAGCACAGTGTGAATAAAACCTGCTTTAATGTGACAGTGAGGCACATGTGTCTGCACGAGCCTTGCCATTAGAGAGCTGAACTATGTGAAAGCACCTGGTATGAAATGCTGATCTTCAAAAAGCTGCAGAATGGGACAAGTTATTGTTTTTATGCACAGTTCAACCATCACACCCTCACAGGAGGCAGTTCCTTCTGCCTTAACAACAAAACCCAGCCAAACCCAGCACAGCTCCTGCGACCCTCCCTGGAGCAGCAGGGTCATGGGGATCTTCCGCCAGCTCAAAAATAGCATGGCCCCATTCCAAGCCTGTTCCTGTGATGTGACCTTATCAAAAGGATTTTGCTGACTACTGAAAAGATTCTTTTATTTAATATTCTGGTGTACCTAGCTAGGAAAAATTAAAATGGTGCTATTTGATGGGATTACTTTTTTAAAATGTCACAAGATGGCTTTGCCATGCACTGTGTCTCACTGTTACTCGTGCAGCAGAGAGCTCTTCTTGGTGCATTGCATCAGCAGCTTATTGCCTGTGCAGCATTTAAGCCTATCTAGACTAGCAAAAAGAGCTCAAATGGACTTTAATTACTATGAGGCTTGAAACAGAGAGGTGCATAAAAGCAGGTTTGAACTTTTAATAGAGGAGAATAAATGTCCTTGAGCAGAAATGATGCCTGCAGTCCACTCGGAGTCCTCCAAAAACATTGGCTCTTTCAGTCTGCTAATGGTGCTCCAGAGAGAGGCAAAGACTGGGACAGATGCAATCTCAACTAAGCTGCAGCAGAACTTCTGGTCAACTAAAAGAAAAATCCGCTACAGGTTTGTATAGCTGTGTCAGTGCACACAAAAGTAATGAAAAAATTATCTGTTCTGATTAAAACCTACATTTTAAAGAGGAATTTTGCTGAAGAAAAAGGAAGTGCCTCTTCACAGTTTGTAAGTCACAGAAAGCTATCAATACATCGCAGTAAACACTCAGTCAAACTTGGGTATGTGCATCATTAACTCTGTATCTACGTTGTCTCTGCAGGTTTGCCAAAAAATTACCTTTAAGCTATTTCTTCTGTTCCCAGGAAGGAAAACACACTGTGTTCTGACAAACCAACAACCTCAGTGGCACAAAGTCATTCCTCTCTTTCCCCTATAACCAAATCCTCCTCCTACAGCTACTGTCCCCAAGGCAGAGCAACCACAACCCTTTGTAGATTGGCGCTGGGAATCTTCATTCAACAAGAAAATATTGAAATCGAAGCCTTTTCTCAGCTCTCCTCATTTCTGAGTTGTAGAAATATTGTATTAGCACATGGGCTGTTGAAGAAGCCAAATTTGTTCCTAATACAAAGCAGGCAACTGCTGTGAACCAAGGAGGTCAGAGCAGTTTTCATATGATTTCACATTCTAACAGAGCAGCCCAAACACTCTCTTAGTGGTCATTTGATTGTAAACATATCATTTATAACCATCGAGTCAAGGCCTCTTTTTCACCCAAAAATGAGACAATTCTCTATGGAGTCTACCCAAGCAAACCTCCCTGAGCTCCCAAGGTAACATCCTTGGGATGCCCATCTCCACCCCAAGCCCCATAACTGCTCCCGCTCCTCTTGAGCTTGGGAGCTGATGTCCAACCAGCCTTGATGAAACTGCGTGGACACTGCCTGTGCCACAGCAGCAGGATTTCTAAGCAACACTCTGATGCATGATTTCCCTCCTCAGCCGTTATGGGTGTCCTGGAAAAGTCATTCCCTACTTGCCAGACAAAACCCCCAAACACAGTGAAAGCGATAACGAACAATTAGCACATGCCTCTTCTGCACTTACTTCACTACCGCAGGTAAAGAATGGGCCAAGCCCAGAGGTACTGTGTATCTTCCTGAAATAACATGAGCAATTTCTTACTTTTTCTTGATCTGGAGAAAAACTTGATGCCCCCAGGAGAGGTAGACGGGTTAGAATTGGGGGAGGACTCTTTGGAGGAGGACCTGAAGATCCCACTGAAGCTCATTCGACGTGGGGAGCGTGGGGGAGACTCCTGGTAGGGGAAGGGGAAGACAGTTTTGGGTGAGCCAGGGCTGTGTTTGGATCTCACAGGGGCAGAAACAGGGCTGGAAGGTCGGTTCTGGAGCCCTTTCGAGAAAATGCCTTTCGAAGGACTGCCTGCAGAGTAGCTTTCGTCCACCTGAGGAGGAGAGAAAAAAGAAGAGAAAGAGAAATCACCATGAATTCAGTTCAGTTTGTGCCATTAGGATCGCAGAGCTTGTCTCAACATGGTCACTCCTGTTTATTCCAGCTGTGGGTTAGACAGACCTTCCCACAGTCAGCCTGCACTGCTACGTAGATGTGTGTTTTGTGCCACCTCACTGGGCTCCTTGCTGTTAAAGATGTCTTGAATTTCACAAAAATTTTAACCTATGTGTATGAACTTCATTATCACACATACACTGCGGGATATTTTTTACCAGATTTATTTGCTGCACATTCCCTTACCTTCCCTAGAAAACTGAAAGGTGGGTGGCAATAAATTTATTAAGAGCAATGAATGACCTCCTTTAAGCTAACACAGCGCCCTGAAGCCTCCATTCTGCATTTAAGCACCCATCTGTAGTACTCCGTAGAAATCTCTACTGTGCAATGAGGCTCAGCAGAGAACATGAGTTCTCAGTGCCAGACACTGCCATGGGGGTTTAACTCTAGTCCCAAAATAGAGCAATCATTCTAGAGTGGCAATGTTACAGATAATTAGCCCAGCCTCCAGCTTGGGCATGACCTTTCTAACAGCTCTGTCTCTTCAGTGACCTGTGCTGGTTTTCCAGCTAGCATGAATATCTACACACAACACAGCATTGCACCGTGCAGGCTCATCTAGAGAGGTGAAGGGGAAAATCCCAGAAAAACAAACCAATAAAAGAAGCAAAGATGAATTTCTTCCCACATACAATTAACAGAAGCCTACACAAACTGCTGTGTGCCCAGGCCTGAGTTATATGCAGAGTTTATTTCCTCCTGGATGCACAAAATACTTCTATGGGCACAAAGCTTTTTTTTTTAGCTGGGGTCGTTAATTAAGGGTCCTGTTCCTGGGGATCAGTGGGTTTCAGGTCCTCAGTGAAAGTGGAATCAAAGGCCATGGGCACAGCACGCTGCCTTCTGCATGAGGTTGATGGGGTTTGAGTCTTTTGCATGCTTGCTCCTCGCTCCCAATATGCAAAGCAAAAGGGATGCATGTATGTATGGAGCATTAAACAACTGCTGACTGCAAGGTGCACATTATATGTCAGTGAAGCTGGGTAAGTGTGTTGCTGCCATGGGAAGAATGGTAGGGAAAATAACATATTTATTAGTATCACAGAATCATAAAATGCCTTAGGTTGGAAGACACCTCAAAGACCATCAAATTCCAAACTCCATGCGGTGGGTTGGCTGCCCTCCATGGGACCAGGCTGCCCAGTGCCCCATCTAACCTGGCCTTGAGCACCTCCAGGGATGGGGCATCCACAGCTCTCTCAGCAGCCTGTGCCAGTGCCTCACCACTCTTTGAGTAAAATATTTCTTTCTTACATCTAACCAAAATGTTTCCCCTGTTAGTTTAATGCCATTCCCCTTTGTCCCATGTAAAAAGTCACCTCCTCCTGTCTGTAAGCTTCTCTCAAGCACAGGAAGGCTGCAATGAGGTCTCCCTAGAGCCTTCTCTTCTGCAAGTTAACAAGCCCAGTTCCCTCAGCCTTTCCTTGTAGGAGAGATGCTTCAGCCTCCTGATCATATTCATGGCCCAAAGATGAAAGAAAAGATGAAAGCTGGGCTGGGTCTTGCTCTGTGGAAACCACAGAAGGGCCTGCAGTGGTTCCTCACTTGGGAAAATTTCCAACCTGAAAGGCTGGTGGCATTTGGTCTGAGAGACGGACACCAGCAGCCAGGGTCAGCAGCTGGAGCATGGAGATGTCTGGCAAGATACTCAACTGCTTTTCATCTCTGCACGTTTATTTCTTACTACCTTTGCCTTTGCAGAAGGACTGTAGGACTAGTTGCCCTCGAGGGGAAATTTTTGGAAAGGATAAATCAATTCTAACTAAAGCACTGGGTACCAGAAACAACAACAGACTCTTGACAGTAGTCATCAGAGAAGAAAATACAGTGTCTCCTTTTCTTCTCTTTTCTTTTCCCACTCTCACTCTCCTGTCTTTTAATAAATAAAGACACCCTCTTGCTCAGTCAATGCCTCGACTCCATTCTGAGTCTTAATTTGGAGGGGTTGGGATCAATATAATGAAACACAGGTCACTTTGGCTTGCAAATCTCCTTCAGTGCCACTCCACGTCCTCTGGCACAGACACCATCTCACAGTGAGTCAAGAAGAATCAAGCACAGTCCCTCAAGTGAGACCTGGAATAATTAACAGACTATAAATAAATTAATAAACTCCACTTTTGTTATGGGTAAATAGCCCCCAAAAGATAACTTCTTCATGAAAGCTCATTAACTTTATTAAAACAGCATCTGTAGATCACCTGAGACTACCTACACAGTGTTCTCTGCCCAGCTATGTAGTCCAGGAAACAACTGTGCAGTGCAGCAGCATCTCCACTCACTGCAATGCAACCAGGTCTACTGCCAAATCTACTGCCTGAAAGTTGGGAGCAAGAAGTGTGTTTTCAAGTTCATTTTAATTGCACTATAAATCCGGTGCTACCTCTGTAATTTCAGACTGTTTCCAGGAATGTAATTTCATTATCATCTTTTCCTAAACTGACACGCCATGGAAGTTGTAAAGCTAAGAGAAACGTCCTTCTGGTGCCACCTTTAATATCTCATGCATCTTTTTTTGCATGCTTACTTGGTAATTACAAAACACCAGTTGGAGACCCTTCAAAAGTTCCATGCTATCCTCACATCCTCAAGAAACAATCTGCCAAATAACATCAGTGTTCTCCTGCACGCACAAGCCAGATATGGAGCAAACCGTTCTCCAATTCTGAGCAGAAGCAGCAGGATGTTTTCTTTTACTGCAATCACAACCCGCTACTTTCTCTCTATCGTGCCAGGCAGATGAATTAGTTAATTGCTAGAGCACCAGGGACACGCTACTGAATACACATGTGCATGCTACTAAATTAAAGGAAATTACTACAACAAATTCTTCTCCAGCTGTTCCACACATTAATTACACACAGGTTACACCCACCGACAAAGAGGATAAATACCTATGATTTTGCTTTGGGAATTATATCAGTATTTCTTTCTTGGTATCTTAATTGAAGCCAATGGTTGTGAGTTTTAAAAGATGATTGATGTCCATGCATCAGCTGGGAATGCAGAAGAATCTCTGCCATGGAATAAACTGTAGCAACCCATGCAGCATCTGCACGATGACTCCTGCAGGAGTGCTGGAGGAAGGCTGCACAGGTGGATGGATCATCAGCCTGTTCTTCACGTGTTTTGGGTTCATTCCCTGAAGCTATCACAGACAGGTGGGCACAAGGAAAAGTCATCTTCTGAGCACAGGTCTGCAGGGAATGGAGATGCTGGAATAAAGCTACATCAGCAGGAGTGTAATAAAAGAACACATGAGTGCAAGTGCAACCCTACCTATGTCAATCCGTTCCCCAGGGAGGCTGGGCAGCCAAGCAGACACCCACAGTACATTATATGAGCTGCTTTGGTTGTTCAAGGTTAACCCAGTTACCTTACATAGCGCTGAGTAAATATAGACAAAAATGCTGCAAGGCTGCCATCTCTGGAGCACAAAAGGATCCTCAGCTGGGGACCAGGGAGAAACTGCTCTGTTTTACAAACTGAATGATCTTCGTCAGGCTCCTAAAATGTATCTAGAACTGGCTGCTGTTGAAAACAGAGCAATAAAATGAGAGGTGCCTTAGACTCCTTTATATCTAGAAGACCTGCTTTCAATTTCCTGAGTAAAATGTAAAGTGATAGCTTGGCACCTGCCTGAGCTGGACAGCCCTGGAAGATTCCATCTCAGGAAGCAGCATCTTCATAGCTTCTTGGTCATCTCACCTGGGTGCACGGCTCTCTCCCTAACCTCCTCTTCATTTCTCACAGCAATGCACATCAATGGCTCAGAGCCTTCCACTGATGGACCAGCAGATCTGCATCTTCATTTCTCATTGTCTTTTTCAATGTACTCCTCAATGACAAAATCTCAGCATAAACCAGACTGCACATGGCTACTCTGCTTCAGTGGGTACGAGAATCTGACTCTACAGCAGGACTGTGCCTAAACCCATCCTGGACCACAACCCTTAACCTCTCCTACATGCTGCTACTCTAGATGTATTCCAGGTGAACAACCACATATCTTGTGCTGTTAAGAATTACCTGTCCTGAAGATCATCCAGATTTTCCTGTCCCTCCACCCAACAGTCTTCTTTTTGACAACAGCCTGGCATCTTTCCCTTCAAACTGTGAGAAAACTTCAACTGTTTTCTCACCTAACTTGCAATTCTTCATCTTGCAAGCAAGATGAAGAATTGCAAGTCGCATCACGTTTAATCACAACCATATGATAATCCCCACTGCAGTGAACTGAGACCAAACTATTTACACTTCACTGCAAACCATTCTCTCGTCACCCACACAAAATCCATCTCAGTCCTGCCTCTTCTCACTCACACACACAAATCTTCTCCACACTGCCCTTTTCTTTCCCATGCTTTGTATGGAAAATCCAATCCCTCTTCTGTTTTGCAAAGTGTAGCCTTCTATAAGAAGGCATCGGTGCTGACAACTTAAAATTTAAGGACTTCTTTACTGCAAGGAAGAGAAGAGTCCTGCCAAAGAGACGTGGACAGAAAAATAAATGAGCTGTGCTGAGAAGACCAACCACAAATAGGTGGACTGGGCCAGAGCCAGGGAACCCTGCTTCTGTCCTTGTCCCTTGCAGCACCTCACTGCAGCCAGCTCCCCAGGCCTTTTGATAGGCACACAGCCTTCTTCAGAGGATTCCTTCATTACCTGCTTCAGGAAACACGAAGATAGGGCGCTTCCTTGGATTTCCGCTTTTCTTCCAAATTTGGACAAATTCTCCTCTCCTTGGATGTGCCATCTTTCCTGTTTGTGCTGACCAACTCCTGCAGTGATCCCTTCCTGTCTGCCATGGGACTTACGCAGCTCAGGATCCCTGAAAAATCTCCATCTCTGATTCAGTTGCTGGGGAATTTAGATTCACTTTCAGAACAGACCAAATTAAAACCTGTCTGGAATGTGAATGGGCTCAAGCTAAACTGTCTGAAAGCCTCAAAATGCTTCTGAATTTATATGAAAGTTATTACATGCTACTGAGCTCTGCTCCTTTTTCTCCAGCTCTAAGTAGTTAGGACACTTATGAAGCATTTGAGTTTTTTATGCTTTTACAGCAGTGATTTATTTCACCTTAATTTTGCTTCTTTGCTTAGAAAAATCCAGAAAGCAAAAATCGCCTCCCACCTCCCTTGTCAGGGACAGTAAGCACAATTAAGGACGACACACGAGATAGAAGTCTGCACTTATTTCTTGCCCTTGTGCTGAATCTCAACAAAGAAGCCCTTTAATAAACTTAATTGGATGATTCCCTTATTACGGTGGAATAAAAGAGCTCACAGAATCACAAGAGCTGACTTCGTTAGACCAAAAGGTAATGAAGGACTTACTCTCTTGGGCACCATGTGGTTACATTCACCCCCATTAGTTCCCTCGGATCTGCATGAGCAAAAACAATTGATATGACAACGTGTTTTACAGGATCAGAGATGTCACTTCCCAAAATTAAAGCCCAGTGACACTTCCCAAATTAAAATACAATGGGATGCGGCTGGCTGATCTGGCAGGCCCAGAGTGCCTGGCATGGCTGTAGGGTTGGGATTAGGTTTCCCACAGGCCTGCTCAAAGGTAGGAGCAGGGCAGGGAGGGAAGAGCAGGTCTGGCTCCAGGTGAGAGCAGGATGGCTCCAGGCTCCATTTCCTAACACAAAGTGTTTGTGGCAAAGCAGTGAAGGGCCGTGCAGCAGTTGTCACTTATGTCCTCATTCTCAGCCTCACTGCATCCACTGCCGGTGCCCCATGTCCGCTTGGGACACGCTGCCTGTCCTTCCTGCTGAGGCCAGCTCACTGATCACAAAGAAACAGATAATTAAAGGCTGAGAAAAAAGAGATCAAAAGGAGACTTGTTATCCAGCGAAGGAGAAAGGGGGTAAAAATGGGGTATTTTTTGCTTCTTCTCTTTGTTCCACCGTTTATGAGTCACTGCACAAAACAAAAACAATGCTGGGAGCAGAACCAGGACAAAGTGCTCGCCTGAGCCCATCAGCATCGTCCTGCATTACTGGCAGCAGAACTGTGGGATGATGACAAATGCAGTCATAACAAAGCCTATGTTTTGCCCTATTCCTTTGTTTGCACATCCAAAAACCAAAGTAATCCTTCAGCCACTGTGTCACATCCAGAATCCACGTACAGCTGATTATCGACAGCTATTCTCAAAATCTAACCAAGCTTTGTGGCAGACTTTCCAAACAACCAGGTCTGCTCCCAGGTGCAACTGCTCCGTTTGAACCACTTGCAAAATGTGTTTTAGTGACTCAGGGCATTTTGCACTCAAGAGTTTCCGCTCAGAATTTATTACTTTCTCCCCCCTCGTTTTTGTAAGAACTGCACACTGTATCAGTAATGAGCCTGTACTTCTTTCAAGTCACTGATAAAGTATTATACAGTATAACAACAGTATGTTTTCCCTGTTTAGAAACAAAATTTTCCACTGATGAATCCCAACTCATTTAATCATCCAGGCTTTACTCAATTCATAGGCTCCCAGGTCTGTTCAGCATCATTCCACCTTCTTAAATCTAAATGTCTGTGCTTCTTTTTTATATACATGACACCAACACCATTACATTTTCCAACCAAATTTATAATCTCCTTGAAAACCCAAATTTGCTCACTAAGAACTGTTTGCCATTAATTCCAATCAAAATGAGTCTACTATAATAGCATCATTAACTATTCAACATTAGATATCTCACTATTATACCCAGGAGTAATGTCATGCTGACAAATCTGCAAATTATCCTAATTGCAGATATTGTAAATATTAACAAAATAATTGCTTTTTTCCAGTCTTTTGCAACCTCATCTCTGCTCCAAAGTTTATACAAAATTAGCACTAGTTGGTCACAGAAAGCTCTGCCAATCCCTACAGAGCTGTTTTATCAGAGTTGCTTGGGTTTAGCTGTAGCATGTTCCATCTTACACACACTTAAGTCATTTCATGAGATAGAGCTGCCATTATCACATAAGATAAACACTTCACCCACTTCTTCACATGCAGAGAACAGTCAATGCATATTTCTTTTTCAAGCTTCCATCTATAGCTTATGACAAACATCTTATAATGATCCCGTGAGGCCATTCCTCCTTCAAGGATTCATGCCATTTCTGGAGAGTCTCAGTTTGAATACGGGGCAGTCAGCAATACCAGTTATTCTAGACAAAGCCACCACAAGTATTAAAGCTCTTTGTGAGGCAATGAGAAGCGTCAGAGTACCTGCAGCTGACATAAGAGCTCCTGTGCTGCATCACATTGTGCCAAACATTCCGTGCGAGAGCCTGCAGAGTATTACACCTTGCCTTCAACAGAGGAAGGTCAAAACCACCACTGCCCCCCTCCTTCCTTCAGGTCATAAAGGAAAGAAAAATACATCGGTTATAATAATAACCACGCCAGTGAGAAGTGATTAAGGCTGAGCTTCAGGAAATATGTGATACATTCCCACCTCTGTCAAAAAATTCCTATGTGCATCTGAACAAGTAATTCCACACTTCAGTTTCCTGGCTGCAAAGTGAGGATTACTGTCACAGGATAATGATTGAGAGGCACTCACACACTGAAGTGCTGAGAATCCTTGTGAAAAATGTTAATACAATTTCTAAAAGGTTTTCACAAAGATCAGTGGTACTAAATTAATGGCAGATCAGAAAGGCAGGCTGTGAGCTACTCTTCTCTGACTTGACATATAGCCCAGCTGACAGAAGAGTTCAGCAAAGGAAGAGAGATGTCCCTGATTAATCGCCAGTCTCCAACACTACTGGTGAATGGAAAAGCCATGCTGCTGATGAAATACTGACTTACAGTGTACAAAAAATACACAACACTGTGATTTCAGACTTGGACAAAGGAAACCCATTTTACATGAAGGAGAACAGTAAAAATTGGGAACTTCTTTATATTGCACCAGCAGGACCTGGAAAACTTTTAGTTTAAATTAAATAAGATACTGCAATCTGATGGTGGCCATCAATTACTAACTACAAAGATCCCATACTTCCCATTAAGGAGAAAAATGTTATTTAGGATGAGCTGCAGTACATTTTATTTGATGATTTGTTTCTGATTGGAAGTTGGGCACTGTCAGCTGGTCTGACAGTGAGTTCTGTTCAGCACATGCAACAAAACGGTGAAAGGCCTTACATATCAGGTAAACAAACCATTTTGGATATAGAGCCTGGCTGCACTGTTATTCCAAAATCCACACTCCCACATGCAGAACTTGATCCAAGTTTTGGGGAAAAAAAAACAGTATTCATAAAAAACACTGAGGGAATGGTTTTAATCTCAAGATGGGAAGGTTTAGATTCAATGTCAAGGGGAAGTTCCTCACAAAGTGAGTGGAGAGGTGCTGGCACAGGTTGCCCAGAGAGGTTGTGGCTGCCCCATCCTTGGAGATGTTCAAGGCCAAGTTGGATGGGGCCCTGGGCAGACTGGTCTAGCACTGGATATGGAGGTTGGTAGCCCTGCATATGGCAAGGGATTGGAGCTTGATGATCCTTGAGGTCCCTTCCAACACAAGCCATTCTATGATTCTATGAAATTGCAAAAGGGGGTGACTAATCTAATGCTCTTCCAGTTTTTCCCAAGAAAACCGCTCATGAAAAAACTGTTCCAAGACTGGTAAGAGAAAAAACAAGGAGTTCATAAATGGTAAAACTGAACTTGTTTAACAATATCACAAAATATTACACATGAGCAACATCGGCTTTGATATATCTTCTTCTTCACATAGCCTCTTCGCCTTTCCTTGGGAAAAATCAAGCTCCAGTTAGGAACACCAGCACTCTTTCAGCATGTCATCATATTGGCCACTTTATTCAGACCCATCAAACAAGTGCATTTTGGTAACACTGTATTTTAGCTTCCCTGTCATCTACAAGAATTGCTCTGTGTTTGTCAGTGACTCCTACATCACAGTCCTAAAAGGTCCAGTGCAGAAAAGGACAAGGCCAATGTTACAAACATATTCAGTTACTGATGGATTGCAGAAGTTTTTTTTAAACAACTGTCCTTTGCCACAAGGTGCAAAGGCATAGAGATGCATGCTGTCAGCAGAGTTAAATTATTATCATTCTAGATGCAGATTAGCTTCACTAAGGAGATATTTATCATTTCACCTGCCTTGAACTATAACTGCAGACTCACTGACAAATGGCCTCCCTACACAAAGGTCCATATCCTTGTAAATATTGCCACAAATCTGCTGTGTAGCTACAGATCAGCTTTTGAGATATCTACTGTTGTTCAGAAGGGTATCTCTCATCACCAAGTCTGTAACTTGGCTGGCAGGAGGTCTACGTTTAGCAGATCAACTCATATGTCAAAGCTCTGTGAAAATGATGAGGCCAGGAACACGAGGCACTGCACTTCTGTAGCAACACCACACATTTTGGCAGCTGTTTTCCTGAGAATACAGTAATCCAATATCACTCCATCAAATTACAGTGTTCTACAACACATCTGTAGTATCTAAAGGAACCGAGGTTACTGTTCTTTACAGGTGACAGCATTAAGCACTGTCATGATAAGGCCTGCAGAAGTCACAGTGTTTGCCTGAGAGTATCGCTTTCAATGGGTAAATGGCAGGAAAGGTTAAAAGCCTGAGACTTCTCCAAGTCTAAGGAATTGTGGTTATCACCGATGGACTCAGCAACTACAATGAAGGTGAAGGTTTGGAAATACCCTACCTTGCGAGAAGCATTTTTGTCTGTGTTCTCCACATCACCGTCCAAGAATGGCATGGCAAAAGAGCTGAGATCCTGATGGGAGAGAGAAGAAAAAATGATGTCCTGTAGCAATGTCTCCTTCCTTATATCAGAGCATCCCATGTCTGTAGCCCATAGTTCTACCTCCAAAGTGCCTGCTGCCTTACCCATAGCTACTGCTGGAAAGGATAACACGGGATCTGACATTTCTGCTTGCATGGCAAGGAGAACAGATTTAAGTAACTTGTGACTAGAGAGCCCTTAGAAGCACTCCCAGGACATCACTATCAAAAGGCACTCAGTATCTGCACAGCCACAGTGGAAGGTCCTGTGCTGAAACTTTCAAAGGGAGGAACCCAAATCCCACAGAAAAATACAGCAGGAAATTACAGTCTAACTGGAGCCCCTTGCTCAGCTAAAGACCGATGTGGCCTTTAGCGGGGACTGCAGTCTTCCTTCAAGGAGTATTTATGGCAACAAACAGAACCTGAATGAGAATATGTCGATGTTCTCAAATGCAGACGTGGTGTCTGAGGATGCAATAACCAACTCATTTTCACAAGGCAGAGAGGAGCCCCCTGTTCTGTGCTACTAACAAAAACAAAGCCATAAAAGAGGCACACATGCTCATCTTTAACTAACAAAAACAAGATGCAATTATGTTCTACCTCCTGTCGTCTGTTCTGTTTATGCTACCTCATGTCCTAGTCTTGGGATTTTTAGGGCTCCTAATGAAGTTTTCTGTGTTAGTGTCAAGTTTAGCATCTGTTTGATCACAAAAGTAGATAATGAGTAACTGTATGAGCACAAGCACGGGTTGGCAGCACTGTATGCTGAAGAACTGAGGCTTGGATCCCAAACCTTGATCTCAATGTCAGGAAAACATGCCCAGCGCAGAACCTGCCTGGTGCAAAGCATCACCCTTTAAATGTAATGATTCAGTGCTTCTCTACCACCACATCTGCATCTCATTTAAAACTGTTCAAAACAAAAATAAATAGCAATTTCACATAAACCTAATTTGAGATTAAATAGAGCTTAATTAAGAATTAGCACAGGCTGGGATGTCTGCAAGGTTTGCTTGCCAAAGGCCTGCAGAATTCAGAACAACCACAAGTCTAATCACATCACATTGTATAATCATACTAAATCCAAACTGCTCAAAAATGTGTATAATTCAGGCGTAATCCTTGCAAATGTTTGAAAATATTCTAGTTACATAACAAACAACAAAAATAAGGAACAAAATATTGAATTACTGGAAGCGAAGCATGTGGGAGTAAGTCATGCCAAGCTGGAAAGGGAAAAAGAAAAGCAACCCCACTTGGCCAAATTGGCCTTGAGTCCCTAGGCCACAAACCAAAGCATCCATGACATATCAGTGTGCTCTGAGCTCTACTCATGCAAATTCAAAGCACCAACTGAGCTATATAGTGTCACCCTCATCGCCACACTTCGACGTGTGTTTCAAGGTCATGTTCAGTGGAAATGGAAATGTAAGCAAATATCTCAAAACCAAAAGAAGAGTTGATCAATTTCAGCTTTTGTTTTCACTGTGGTCAAGATTTGACAGAGGCTAGCCCTGGCACCAGAACATACCACTTCTCTATTAATCTGCTAATTCCTACCATTAATTAAGAGCAAAATGACCTACATGCTCCAATAAAATTAATCAGCCATAAGCAGTGTTTATAAACATTGCCAATACATGAATTAGTATATTCATACTTAATATATTACTGCCAGACTTAAATAATACATCTCTGCGAAGAAGTTTAAGAGCCGAATGGAAAGTTACACAAAAACACATCCCTTTGTGTTTACTTTAATTTAGCCAAAGGATTTACCAACATTTTCCTCTATCCATCTTTGGTAGTGAAGAAGCTGGAATTTGATGTGTGCTAAGTCATTTTCCATGCAATAAATCAAGCAAATAATCTCTGAGCTCCACATGGTATTGTCCCTGTATTACTACTTTTCTAATTTGCAGAGAGGAAACCTGCAGCTTGGGAAGGCTGAAACCTGGGAGAAGAAAGTGGGTTTTGAAGGGACATATAGCTAGCAATTACAGTAGATAAAGCTGCCCAAGAAACCTGGAACAGCTGGGAATGAAACCAGAACTTCACTTCTGAGCAGAAGCTTTCAAAAACAGGAAGAGGTAGGCAGGCAGAATTATTTTCCAATGAGCTAAATTTCAGCTGCCAGTTACAATTCCAAGCTTGAAAATGGATGCATGCTATGTTCTAGAGCCTAAACGTATCATGAAACCCACCTGATGACTTTATTCTAATTTGTAACTGTTAGATACCACAGAGGTGTGCTTTCTTATCCGTTTTCAAATGCAGGAGATTTTTGAAATAGGAGATCTCTACTTCTAAGCAGAAATTACTGGAGCTATACCAGAGCCCAGTGGGGCAGCACAAGACCCCTCCTAGTCTGCTGGAGAACATTTTAAACAGCGTGATAATTTTGAGTGCTCTGATAAAGCCTGTAATTGCAGCTGCTACTAACAGTTTCTTCATCTTCCACTTCCTCATGGGACTGCAGTTACTGAAGGAAAGAATGGGTAGATGAAAAGCCAAGCTACAAACACTGCTCTCTCAGTTCCAACCACTTGGTTAAACAAGGAAATAACTGCATGCTTGTTTTTTCTTTACATGACTCTCTGTAGAAGACAGACCGGATATCTATTTCTTTCTTTTATTGCTCTTCATTCAGAAAAGTACGCAGCTACAAGGTTGATGATACAACATCTCTAAAAAAAAAAAAAAGAAAAAAGAAAAAGAAAAAAGAACAGTTTCAAATGTGTTCACAGAATCACAGAATGGCCAGGGTTGGAAGGGACCTCAAGGATCATGAATCTCCAACCCCCTGCCACACGCAGGGCCACCAACCTCCACATTCAATACCAGACCAGGCTGCCCAGGGCCCCATCCAACCTGGCCTTGAACACCTCCAGGGACGGGGCATCCACAGCCTCTCTGGGCAGCTGTTCCAGCACCTCACCACTCATTCTGTAAAGAACTTCCCTTTGATATCCAACCTATATCTTCCCTCCTACAACTTAAAACCATTTCCCCTTGTCCTGCTATTATCTACCCTTTCAAAGAGTTGAAAGTACTGAAAACTTTCAAAGTGTTGCAAAACACCTGTGGTTCTTTACAAGTCAGTGGTGTGGCCCTAGCTTTAGTGCTTATCTGTGTGCTCTGATCTGCTTCCAGCTGATGCACCTATTACACTTGCTCTGCCATTAATCTGGAATTTAAACCATTACTGGACAGCTTTCTCACTCTTAGAAAAAGCTGGTGTGGATATTCTCCAATAGCCCTCTCCAGGGGCTCTCTCTGCTTTGCTTTATATAAGTGCCCTTGGAAATTACATGGTTCTGGGCAGATATTAAAAATCTTTTGCCAAAGAAATCCTTTGATGTGTTGGTAGGGGAAGAGACCTTCTCATTTGAAACTGCAAAACGCTGTCTGAAGAACGAGTTGCATCACTCCCTGTATCCATCAGTTCTGCACCACATCCTTGGATAGAAAATTTCTGTTGGGATCAAAGTCTATGGCTATCTTTGCAAGGAAAGAAGGCCACCAGCAGGTGCAGCTCCTAGTGATGCTAACCTGTAATAAAGGCAATGCAAAGCTTGTTTTGTACAATTCTGTTGGCTTTCCTGTCGTGCTCATGTTGCTCAGATCCTTCACACTGCCCAGTGTAGTCTGACTGTCAGACATCAATCCTGCCACCCCCTTAGAAAAGATGAACGCTTGAGCAGTTTAGATTGACTTTACATCCACAAGGCTGCTCCAGGTTAATATTCAGACACACACAGTGCTGCATCATTCCTTCCTGAGTCCCCTTTTTCCTGGGACAGCCCTCATATTACAATACTTCGAACGATGCGAAAAGAAGAATAAAAGTTTCATTAATTGGTATCTTGGGAAAACAAAACAAAACAAAATCTTTTTCTCAGAAGTGCTCTGCAGAACAAGGAAGAAAACCACACTTTAGGATATGGAAAGCAAATACGTTGGCTGGCAAAACGTAGCCAAATAGCAACAGGAGCAAGATCTGGTTGGCTAAGCTATTTTTCACCTCTTCCAGTCAGTTTCCCTGTTTCTTTCCTTACCAGAGAGAATTCCTGCCAACAAAGCCTGCCCAAACACGCTGCTCTGGCTGCTGCTGCAGCTGGGGACCTCGGTGTCAGAAGAGTTTCCAGCAGTTCTGCTGCAGAGGCAGGAAGCTTAAGTAACAGACCACTAAAGCCTCGAATCCAGTAAACAACATAGAATAAAAAAGGATTCCTTTTTATTATGGTTTTGTTTCAAGGCTATTTTGGCAGCCAGGCTACTAAAGCTCCTCTGTAATAGCTGAAGCCAAGGAGCCAGCCGGGCACTCCGGGGTGTGCGGGGATTTACAAGTCACAGACCCATTTCCGAGGTGTTTTGGGTGGGAGTAAGACATTTTTATGGCCCCAACCAGCAGTCGTCTGGAATTTCAGGGGTGGGTATTAAGAGTATTTCACACACAGCTCCCTGTTGCCAGGCCTTCCAAACAACAGGCACGGCCAAGCAACATGTCTGCTCACATCTGCGGTGGTGGGTCCCTGCCCCAAGGTCATGGCCAAGTCTTTGGTGTGGTTCAGAGGTGCCTCAGGTTGGGATGGATTCACGGCAACACCACTGGCCTATTCCTGCTGGAAGGCTGAGCACCTCTGCTGAGCAGCTCCAGAATCCTGGTGTAGGCGTCAGCAGCACGCAGTTCTGATCACTGATGGTGTCGGCTGTGAGACATCGTTCTTCTGTTTCAATAACTGCTGTGTATGTGCTGGTGCTGCACTGAATTTAAGGATGCGACACGCCTGCCAGACATTACAGTCATTTTGTGCAATGTAAATCAAGCAGAAGGTGGCACTTTACTAAGCTTTCTAATGTGGGGAGGCAGCTCCTTCGATAGAGTAAATAAAACAAGATATTGAGAAATTAAGCAAAGAGTGCTGGCGAGATCCCTGATCCCACAAAGTACTGCTAGAAATTCCACTCCTCAGCACCACGTGT